CCATACTCGTGAACCGGTGCCAGCGACGCTGACCGCCAAATTGACAGAATGAGAAACTGAGCCCACTCATGAGTGAAATTTACGTCCTTTGATGGCGCAAGAAAGAAAATGAAACATACGAAAAGCTTTTCTAGGACTTTTGTTCGATCTGAAAGGTGGGGCCAAAAGATAGTATGGCCCCACCTTTCAGCACCAAAGGGGGGGCCATGGCCCCCGTGCCCCCCCCCCCCCCTGCGACCGCCAGTGGAGGGATATGTATCAATGTAAACACTCAATGCAGATAAGCAGCTAGAGAGCAGCACCATCGATGAATGTTTGAGCAGACAGACACCAGGTGGCAGTATAAAGCCGTTGTAGGTGCGTCAATGGCGCACCGTTCCGTCGTTTCCATTCTCAGGATGCTGAAATCATTCTCCTCCACACGGCAGCCCTCGCTCCGGGCTGGACAGGCGACTTTAGCTCATGCGGGCTGCTCCTTTGGAGCGGCACCGCTGTTCCCGAGGGCCGGGTGCAGTGAGTGCTTGGGGGGCTGGTCGGCCTGTCCATTCGGATGGGCTCAGCCCCGACGACTCGCCAGGGTGCCCGCCCAGACCAATATCTCCCCTAATTCCTATCATCCTTCCGGCTCTGAAATGGTCAGACTGAAAGGGCCTCCGGCCTAACACAAAAAAAAAAATATGACTGGTTATCCTACAGTGAAGGACGATCTGTGGTATTGATGTCAATTACAGAAAATCGTGGTACGCTGGTATGTACCGATACCAAAGCAAATATCAACCACAGCCGGCGGCAATTTTCCCACGGCTGCAGCCGGCTGCAATTTTCCCACGGGTGCAGCCGTGGGAAAATACCAAAGTCGAACCAGCTTGGGAATATAGGGAAATACCAACTTTATACTAAATTCACAGCCTCTTACCTTCTTGTGAGGATTAATAATACCAATTTCCAACAAAATACCAATAACATTAGGATTGCAATACCAAATACCGAGACAGTAAGAGACGATCTGCTCTGTGGTATGTACACGTAACACTACTCACGGTTATCCCATGAAGAAGTCGCCTGTCGCCAGGAGTTACTTTGTATATTTTCTCTCCACTGTTAAGCCGCTAGCCGAGTGCCGATTTGTACTGTAGGTACTTACAAGTTACAACATGCTGCTTATGGCTGATATTTGGACAAGGGCTGCGATGTCAGAGTCGGAGTAGATTTTTCGAGGACGGGATTTGAGTCGGAGTCGGAGACAGAGTAGCCGGAAATTCATTGACTCTGCAGACCTGCCAGGGCTGCGGACTCGTTGTCGGAATCTGTCGGAGTCGGCATTTCTTTTTTGAGTCCGAGTCGGGGTTGATATTTGGAGGCCGGAGTCCAAGTCGGAGTCACTGAAAATCCATCGACTCCGCAACCTTGATTCAAACGATGATTATTGGTGGGTATAAACCTTGCATTAAATGAATGATTGCATTGGTGTCCGGGGGGATTGATTAGGGGTGGATTGACTCATCGCATCTATTTAAGCCCTAGTTTTCATCAGGACTGCTCTCCGATTCGGATATCTACTGTACTCATACTACCTAATCCAATGTCCGGGTTTAGTCGCCCCCCCCCCCACACACACACACCAGACAACCGGTGCCCGATGGTGAGGACTGAGAGCAAGTCTTAGTTTGTCTACACCCTCTCCGGGGTGACCGTTTGAGCGGCAGGATGAGCTGTCCTAAAGGGTACCTACTGCCGCTCCACCGCGGACCGTCTCTCGTGCTGCCGCGCACCCTCAGTGCAGTCTGTTTAACTGTTATTGGATAAACATTTTCACATTTATCCTATCAAAACGAAAGGATAGAAATAGGACACAGGCACTTTATTTGGCAAGAGATGGGTATTGGGTACAATATACAGCATACAGCCTTACCCTTTTACAAAATATTTCTTTGAAAATTGGTCACTGAGATTCCTAAAAATATCCCCACGCCTGTGATTTGGTACCGATTTTGTGAATTTGGTACACCTTATCATACATCAATTCTACACATGTTGTGAAAATTTCAGACCAAGGTCGTTCAAGGTCAGGTCACCAGGTCACTTGAAGTGACCTCACCTCATAAAAAGTTTAAATGTCTGTCATAGCTACACCGAGTGACCGATTGCTTTGAAACTTTCAGCGATTGCTAAGAGCAATAGCATGTACAAAATGTATATCTCAGAATTTTGATATCGATGACCTAAGGTCAGGTCAATTTTGCGACATCCCCATTATAAGTCAATGGGGGAAAATTGAAATGCGCCTCTTTTGGACAAAAGACATTATAAACACTCCCGAACACCGAAATACAAGTGTTTTAGACACACTGAACATGAAAATGGTGTCCGTGACCCTTGTTTGTGCCCTGAGGTCATCTTAGGTCACGAATGGTATCTAACAGTTTTTCGCAAATAACTTTTGATAGAGGCATGCTAGAGCGATGAAAACGCCTTATATGTGTTCAGCTCGACGATACGGATCGACTGATATGCAACATGACCCTTTTCGGTCAGGCCATGACCTTGACCTGAGGTCAAATTTTCAAGTTGACCTTTCAAGGTCAAGTTATAGTTCATTCGATGCGTCTTGACGAGAGGAACACGATGCCGGTAAAAGTAAGCTCGTACAAGGCTTGGGTCAAAAGTTATTGCAGAAAAACTGTTTCCGAAAAAATCGGCTGTTTTTGCAGTTTTTGCCCCCTGCAGGCAAAACTGTTGACGTTAGGTCAAATCTGAGAGAATTACTCAGAAAGGGCGTTAATAGGGCTATCGAATGCACTTTTCCGCGGCGCTGTAGCTCTATTGGTTCCCGAGTTATGCGTTGGCTTCTTGGAAATTGTCGACATTCGACCTGGAAATCGGCGAAATTTTGCCTTCAATGACCTCTGGTGACCTGACCTTTGACCTGACCAAAAAATTGACCGAAGTGATTTCGTCATTATTTTTTTACGCTCTTTCGAACGCCGCCTTCCGCGTATCGCTACGTGGCCCAGGAGCCGAGTTACAAGGGGGGGGGGGTGTTTGAACACCCCTCTTGTAACTCGGCTCCTGGGCCACGTAGCGATACGCAGAAGGCGGCGTTCGAAAGAGCGTAAAAAATAATGACGAAATTACTTCGGTCAATTTTTTGGTCAGGTCAAAGGTCAGGTCACCAGAGGTCATTGAAGGCAAAATTTCGCCGATTTCCAGGTCGAATGTCGACAATTTCCAAGAAGCCAACGCATAACTCGGGAACCAATAGAGCTACAGCGCCGCGGAAAAGTGCATTCGATAGCCCTATTAACGCCCTTTTTGAGTAATTCTCTCAGATTTGACCTAACGTCAACGGTTTTGCCTGCAGGGGGCAAAAACTGCAAAAATAGCCGATTTTTTCGGAAACAGTTTTTCTGCAATAACTTTTGACCCAAGCCTTGTACGAGCTTACTTTTACCGGCATCGTGTTCCTCTCGTCAAGACGCATCGAATGAACTATAACTTGACCTTGAAAGGTCAACTTGAAAATTTGACCCCGGGTCAAGGTCATGACCTGACCGGAAAGGGTCATGTTGCATATCAGTCGATCGGTATCGTCGAGCTGAACACATCTAAGGCGTTTTCATCGCTCTAGCATGCCTCTATCAAAAGTTATTTGCGAAAAACTGTTAGATACTATTCGTGACCTAAGATGACCTCAGGGCATAATCAGGGGTCACGGACACCATTTTCATGTTCAGTGTGTCTAGACCACTTTTAATTCAGTGTTTGGGAGTGTTTATAATGACTTTCGTCCAAAAGAGGCGCATTTCAATTTTCTCCCATTGACTTAAAATGGGGAGGTCGCAAAATTGACCTGACCTTAGGTCATCGATATCAAAATTATGAGATATACATTTTGTACATGCTATTGCTCTTAGCAATCGCTGAAGGTTTCAAAGCGATCGGTCACTCGGTGTAGCTATGACAGACATTGAAACTTTTTATGAGGTGAGGTCACTTCAAGTGACCTGGTGACCTGACCTTGAAAGACCTTGGTCTGAAATTTTTACAGCATGTGTAGAATTGATGTATGATAAGGTGTACCAAAAACGGCGGCGCTTTGCGCCGCCGTTTTTGAGAATTTCGCGAAAAACCACAAGGGGGGTGTTCAAACACCCCCCAGCAGGGCGCGGGTTAAAGGAAATAGTTTACTTTTCTGAAATTAGTATTTTGCTATGGATTTATGATTTTTTATCCTCAAAATGATCAGAAAATAAAATAAAACCTTTCTATCAGAACAATTATTTTCTATATTTTAATATAGGAAGACCTATATTCTATGTAGAATGATGTTTTGACGCGGAAGCTTATTACGCGTTGACCAATCACATTGCGTAGTTCAAACCTAAGCATGCTGCATTGGCTGTAAGCAGCATGCTGATTGGCTGACGATGATGTGACTGCATTCCTTTCTAAGACACCACATTCCTGCGTAAGACACTCTTTTTGGAACGGGAAATTGAATATTTTTGCTTAGGGTGATCGTTGGGCCGTAAAAGCTTATGATTTGTGCTAGTCTCAGCGCAAGCTACAAGACTGCTATTTCAGTTCAAAACCCCATGTTAAAAGTGAACTATTTCCTTTAATAGAAATGGTCCCTGAACGACTCAAAATGAGGCACTGATGCTACGGAACCACATGTTAATCTTTCTCTTTCTTTCCTACTCTCTCTCTCTCTCTCTCTCTCTCTCTCTCTCTCTCTCTCTCTCTCTCTCTCTCTCTCTCTCTCTCTCACTCTTTCCCTCACTCCCTCCCTCCTCTTTCGCTCTCAGTCACTCTCTCTCCCTCTCTCTTCCTCTCCTCCCATTGACTTCCTTCTGTTGCTCTCTCCAAACTGGTCGATGGCTTCACCGACGGCAACAGGTGAGTCCGCGCTGCACTGGGGACCCGCCCACCGAGCCGCTGCTTTGTCTGCGCTGAATGCCGGCCCGACACGGGCGCGGCGTCGGTTATGCCCTGAGGCTATTCTCCACGCGAGCTTGCGGGCGTGGTGGTGTGGGGCTGCGTGACAGGCGTCAGGGGGCCGGGCGGAAGCTTTGTTTTCTGGGACGAGCTGTGGTGTGGGCTACGATGGTGGTTTCGTAAAGATGATTGCTCGTTTTGGTACTTTGTTATGACACTGGATGGGGTAGGGTGTCATATGGAGGGAAGTTTTGCGGAGGAAGAGCGGACTGTAACAGGTGGTTGAACTCAGTTCTTCGCAATGGTGAGTGTGTTGCTTGAACTGGCATCCTCCGGCCTCCTCTGATGCTACATCGAACTGACGCATGAAATACTTTGTACTTCTCCTTGAACATCGCTGCAGAGCCTAAATTTGTTGTTGTAGTCAACGTGCAAAATGGAGCAGCAATGACACTGTGTGTTACCTGAAAGTCATTCAAAATTAGGCATCAGCTAATACCTAACGTAGCGAATAGAGGACATAGGCTACCGGGAGAACCCGCGCCGTGCTGGGGGGGGGGGGGGGTTACGCCCCCTCCCTCAGGTTTTTCGCGAATATCTCAAAAACCGTTTTTGATACACCTGCTCCTTCATCTTTTCCGCACATGTTGTGAATATTTCAGACCCCGGTCATTCAAGGCCAGGTCACGTTTAGTGACCTTACCTCAGAAAAAGTTTGAAAGCTTGCTGTAGCTACACCGACTGAGCGATCATTTGTTCAATGTTTCAAGTTCAAGTTCAATGTTGTTATTGCATAAACACATTTCAGACATTTTCACTAGATACTGCTCCTGAGTAACCTACGAACATGTCGGAACGAACTGATAGCCCATGTATATCAATTTTTGTGAATCAGTACCTGCCAACTTTTCATGAATGTGTCTGCCCTTACTTCAAGCTTCTAAGCTTCCGCTTTCCTGTTATCAGGAAGCAAACAGAGGCAAGGCTTTCTTTTTCTCCCGTGTTCCAACAGACGAAAGGATTAGCAATTGGTATCTTTCTGGCTATACTTATGATACATGGCACATCTAAAGCCTCTGTTGTGTAATGCTATAGGTTAGATGTCTGGACTCTGGATGATCAAGCTTAGGAATGCAACCTTTTACGTTTAGTGATTTTGTCGTGTGATAGTACATATATTGCTGATATATGCGAATAAGAGGCAATAGAATTACCCTTTGAAACTGATGCCTGCAATTGTGCGACCAGTGTCAAACCAAAACGTTCACAGTCAAAGTCAAACATTCACAATTCACACTGGACGCACGCGCACACTAACCACACAAACACACATTTCTTTGCTTCTCCGCGGTCGGGGCACACAGCTAAACTGGAAAACAAATGTTGTGCCTCGGTTGTCATGACAATCAGACCGAAACGACCATTGAAGACGTTTTTGATGTCGTGTAATGGCTTGCCTCGTCGGAGATCTCCGCTACCAGTAATCATATAACACTGATCAATACTCTAATCTCCGCTGACAACATACGACCTATGACGGATGTGTAGGTAGGTATTGGAAATCGGACTGAATACCGGTTTTAGACTTTCACGGACTTTGGACATGAGGACCAAATCGTGTCCCAAACATCATTATTGATTTGCATGAATTGTTACCTACATACATATATCTAAACCTCGTTGTTGCAGAGAAGAACGTGGTTGGATGCAACCCACCTCAGGATTTTAGATTAAGTTGAACTATCTGAAATCACTTAGGTTGGCGTTCAATAGTAAAAAGCACTATTAGTTTGAACTGTGTTATTCATTAAAAAACAAAATCTGATGATGCTGTAAAGCGAAAGCTCATTCTCATATTTGGCCTATTTTACAATAAAAGGTTTACATTTCTGCCATGTTATTGATCATATTTGCATATTTATAAAAAACAAAATCTTAGCTCTGCATAACCTTGCCTTTTGTAGACAAAAGATGAACCATCCGAACATCGAACCAATGATTTAGGGCTCTTTGGTTATTCATTCGTATGTTATTTGCGCAAAAAAAAAGAATCAAACAAATAAACTAACAATAAACAAATGAACAAACAATGAACGAAGAAACCTACAGACATCTGAACGTAAAATCGAACCAGCAAGCAAGCATGCGAACATGTATGTAAGCAACCAACCAACCAAACAAACATTTCGTCTACTCCGTTGTCGTGTCGTCTGACTGACTGTCGTCGGTGGCGTCGGTGGTGTCTGTTGCAGGTACAGACCGGTGCGTGCCCTCCCGGACCGGGCATGGTGCGCATCGCCGTCATCTCGGCTCCTGAAGGTGGGTCAGAGGGTTTTTGTTTTGGTCTGTTTTGGTCCTTTTAATCCAATTTCGGTCGTTGGGAGACAAGATAACGGATGGACGTTGAGTTGTGTGCAGAACAACCAGATGATGCTCTTACTATAGGCTGATCTCCTCCTGAGAGGCAGGCCATTGGACCACGCTTAGGTTACCTCATGGAAGTCGAACAGAGTGGAGTTTTAGCTTGGTTTGTTCGGATTTTTATTCCGATTCTTTTATTCTAATGAGTTTGAGCAACGTCTTAGTAGTCATTTCAGTCCTAAAAGAAAGACGGGGATGCCTATTGTGGACGATCTTTCTTCTTTAGTAGATCGATAGATAGGGGTGCAATCTACCAGCCTCTATTTGTGCGAAATAACTGAAAATCACTTGAGCCTTCTATTTAGTCCCCCACAAAGTACGGTCTTCAGTCCGTCATTCCAGTGAATTCAGGCTCACCGATCCATCACTCTCTAAAGAGACAGGCTCTCTCACGAGTAAATGGGTTCAGGATGGCGGTCTTTGATTAAAGATAAGTGAGAAAAAGAGCGCTCTCAAAAAGTAAGCCTTTAGTTTACTTGCATAAGGCAGGTGTGGCGATGCTTTAAAGGCAAAGCTTTGCATCAGGGTCGTCGAGCTTGGCGTCCTGGTGTAACCACTGAAAGGCCTAAAGAGAAAAGTACCAAAGTAAAAATAAGATCATACTCGGAGTGAATAAAGAAGTTCCCTTGAGAGTTCGTGAATGGTTCGTGTCAAACAAATGCCGCTACTACGACTTATGTAAGTCGAGTGTTTTATATCATTATTTGCTTCGGTCAGAACTGAATATTTGACACTTAGCACCCTGATTCATGAAAGCAAGGGGACTCGGATCAAATATTTTCTTGCCCCTCGACTCTTTAATCTTCCTCTTTCTCTCTCTCTCTCTCTCTCTCTCTCTCTCTCTCTCTCTCTCTCTCTCTCTCTCTCTCTCTCTCTCTCTCTCTCTCTCTCTCTCTCTCTCTCTCTCTCTCTCTCTCTCTCTCTCTCTCTCTCTCTCTCTCTCTCTCTCTCTCTCTCTCTCTCACTCACTCACTCACTCACTCACTCACTCACTCACTCACTCACTCACTCACTCACTCACTCACTCACTCACTCACTCACTCACTCACTCACTCACTCACTCACTCACTCACTCACTCACTCACTCACTCACTCACTCACTCACTCACTCACTCTCTCTCTCTCTCTCTCTCTCTCTCTCTCTCTCTCTCTCTCTCTCTCTCTCTCTCTCTCTCACACACATTTTTCTTCTCTTTCCCCTCTACCGTCTCAAACACATTACCAAGAAACTCTTTTTTAACGCAAAACTTTTCACCATTTTTTTTTTTACTGTCGCTCGGTGCACCTCGCTGGGTAAACCAGCCATCCCCAGCGGACGTGACGGCTGATTATGAACGATATCGATCATCGGGTACCTGCAAACAGCGTCAAACAGCCGGCGGCACCGTCACAGACTAATGCATCGGCAAGACCGAGGAGCGACAACTTCCGTCAACTTTGCATTCACGAGAGAAAAAGAACCAATGGTTGTGGTAGGGAGTCAGAGATCAGTTGCAGTGTCGAGTTTTTGGTGTCATTCTGCGATGGTATTTAGGTAAATATGTAACGTTTTGGTGCCTTAATTGGTCAGGTTTATTCAGCGCTGTTTCAGAAACTGAAAGTATAGCAGCCTTATCACCAAATTCCGTTGCTCTTCTCAGGCCCGGGCGTCACTTGCCTTTGTCCTCTGGTTTCGCCTCGATTCTCTCCTTTACTTCTTCTACTCTAGTCTCTATTCGTCTCTCACGCCTGATCTCCCGTCCTTTGCCTCTTTTCTCTTGTCCTCTCGTCTCGTCTCGTCTCGTCTCGTCTCGTCTCGTCTCTCTCTCTCTCTCTCTCTCTCTCTCTCTCTCTCTCTCTCTCTCTCTCTCTCTCTCTCTCTCCCTCCTATCCCCCCTCTCTCTTTCTCTCATTGTTCTCCTTCTTCACGTCTTCCTCGTTTCTAATTGCTTCTCTGTCTTCTCTTGTCCTTAGTTTCTCTTCCCTAACCTATCTTCTGTCGTCTCTCGCCTTCCCACCTCACTCAATTCACTTGTTCCCTCCTAGCGCTCGAGCCGCTTCGCAGGCACGTAGCGGAGCAAAAAGGGCGGTCGACCTTTGACCTGAAGCACTCATTCACTGTCCAGTGCCCTCATTTGTGCCACCATCCGCGCAGTCAGCAGCAGCGTACAGCTGCTGACGCTACGAATGGAGGCATTACCATTGCTATTACCTTTACCGTTTACCATTAGTGTCATGCGGGCAGCTGATGTAGATAGCGCAGGTGTAGTTACCTACCACCTACCTTGGTTGTTTTCTCTTTTTTGGCGGAAACACGGTCTCGACTTCCCCTCCTCGCTCGCCCAGGTGTCTGTGTCTGCCGATTCCTTCTTGCGTAGCTGAAAGACACCAAAGGACCGCCAAGCTTAAAATGCATGGCAGGCTAAGAACGGCAATGACTGGGGCCAGGCAAGCAATGACATGGGTGGAAAGAACCATTATAGGTACGGAAGAGGAGGTCATCCTGGTTGGCTGGGCACAAGATAAATGTACAGAAAGTCACAGGTTCATACACTGGCAATCACACCGGGGGGTGAGCTGCTCCCCAGGCACATTGCAGGTGGTGAGACACCTGATTGCAGTCAGAGTAGGGCTCGTAATGGTCAGTAATGTGGCACATGGCGCCCGGCCTCGGCTAGGGGGGCGCGATGTGGGCAAACTCTTATCATGTATGCTATATTGAATCGCCACTAGCGAGCACATGAGTGAGTAAGGTGCAAGTGCCAATCACCACCGGCGTGTCATGGGACGCGGCGAGGAACGGGCGAGACAAATCAAAATGGCGCCCGGCGCCTGGGGGGTATCCCCATGCACGCGGTGAAAGCCGTCGACAGACCTAGTTAGGTAGCAGGGAATGTCAAGAACATACCTGCAGTTTGGCGCCGTCGAGGGGCCATCGCGACCACAGGAGGATCCTAGGTTTTTTCTCTCGCTGATGCCGGTGTGCAGGAACTCTTTCGGCGTCGGAAAACTATGGTGATGTTTTCCAGCGTTGCCTTTCTTTCACGGATTTTGTTTTTTGTTGGATTTGCTACTCACATATTTATTATACCTAATAATTCCATTGTCGTTGTAACATGCTTGGTGAGGGCAAAACATTGGCATTATTTCCTTTCCCATTAATATTAAAGTATTGCCTGATTATCTCGTCTAGTGCTGCCATCTGTCGAATGTGTTCTCCCTAGCTGTTCGTCAACCTAGGGGTCGCCGCAGTCTGCCCTTTCACTAATGTCCCGTGATTTTCGCCGGCGCTAATACGGTCCCATTACCGTTACTGCGATCATGACTGCCAATGGTGGTGCTGAGAGTTTATGCTCTAAACAGTTGGTAATGGACGTCGCCTCGATAGTGTGAACTTTGCAGCCTATAACGAATGCTGCATGTAGGTTTTATTTTTACAGGGAGAAATTTATGATAAAGCAAGGTTTATTATTGCTTCAACCATAGTCCTCTGTATAGCTCGGTATACAGAGGTCTATGATTCAACGTATTTTGACTTGAACTGTATCCTTGTCACGTAAATGTCGCGAATTGAACGATCTAGAAACGAAAGAATTTTTTAGATCAAGCAAATCATGTCTTAGTTGGATACGAACTCTTTTGATGCCCTTCGTGTTTTATGTGAGATTCAAACTATTGCCAAATGGTCTATATAGTTTAAAGGGGACCTTTGAATTAGAAGAAAAGAACTTTATTGCCGTCATTAAATTGTACCGTTGTTTGAAGGTCTCTGTTCAAAGAAGAGACATCAGTCGCAAGTACGTTCGATTGAGTTCGAAATTGAAATAGCCGATTCGATGTCCTGTGGAAGCGATTTTTTTACATCGACATAACAACTCATGTTTGTCTCCAAAGCCGTGACATATGCAATGTCTAGATCGCAATACTTTTACAAATTTATTTGGAACATAGCACTCAAACTCGCCTTTAGGACAACCGATAACAATAGTTTGTAGTAATACCGCATTCGCATAATGTCATTTAGTGACTGTGACTCAGCTCCTCTCCCAAGTTTCTACCATGAAGCCATGGATTCCCTGGAGCATATACACTAACGAGCGAGGCTGGAAAGCTTCCGGGTCGAATGGCTGATTGGCGGCTTAGGGGTGCCGCAGTAACCGGGAGAAACCAAGTCACGTGAGATGATGGCGGCGTATATGTGATGTGTCGTTGTCAATATATGGGAGAGTTAGTTACGGCTTCGGAAATAATTGGATGGAGGGAGGCGGTGGTTTTATGCATACGGATGTGTCACGCAAGTGCCATAGCATGGAGTAGAAGTCGCGTCAAACTGCTTTGAACGATTTCGACCAGTAATTCAATTTATATTGTGCGCTGCGTGCTTCATAATTGTGCTGCCACATGTTTTTATTTTCTTATCAAGTCTCTCATTTGGTGTTTGTGATGTCCTTTGTGACGTTAGTTTATATCTTTCCACCAATGCGTGTTTCATATTGATCACTAGCAAAGCGATATGACTGAATGTGCATTAAATTTTCATCTACAGTCATAGTTCTCCGATGTGATTAATTCTAGGAAAGTCGGGGCCACAATATGCATTACAATTATAAAAAAGACATTCCAACATGCATATTGTAAATAATCTACTGCGTGTAGCTAGCGATCAAAACGTGTGTCATTTGTTATTTTTCCGGCAGAGTTTGCAGCTGAGAGACGGCACCTGTTGGAATATGCACTGCCAGAGCTTCAGAGGCACTACATCCAGCGAGGTATTGAGGTTAGTAGCGGTAACCGGCCGCAAAGACTTGTGGCATCTAGTTACATCGCTCCATAGCCAGGCAAATAGTTGTGGCAATGCTAAAAGTCAGTTGTGTGCGAGTGTGAGAAAATGTACCAATTTTTTTACTGTTAATGTGGACTTGTAAGCCATGATTGCTGGTAGACATGGGTCTGAACTCAATTATATTCCCCTAGTTGGATTTGCCAGCTGGGATAGTTGTCTATATGTATAGCTGGCTGGCCTCTGAAAACAAATGATTGGTTCTAAATGTCTAAAAAACGACTGAGGCACCTTAGTCCTGGTGCCACCTAGGTACCATTTATGTAGGTGCAGGTACTTTTTAAAACCGGACAAATTATTGAATATTTCACGGCGGCGCTCGCTTTTATTTTGTTTTTGCTACGCCCCAGTGCCGGCGGGCCTATGTTCATTGCTGGCATTTATTGAGCACTGTCACAGAAACCGAAAATTAAAAGCAGTTTTATCGACATGGATCGTGCCTGACCTTAGCATTATGCCAAGGTTTTTGTCCACGCCCGAATGTAGGACAATTGCGGGTACTCGGTTTGCATTGTCAATTTGTGAAGGTAACTAACGTATGTCTTTCGTGTCGTAAGATAGTTGTGGGTATACTGTTGAACAGGCCACACTCATAACATGTCACGCTCTATATATGAATACCGGCATCATAATTTTATCGTTTGGGGTTTTAGTTTGTCTGTTAAAAGAAAAGTGGATAGCATATCCGTGGTTATGTGTGTTTTCACGGAGGTGTATGTTGGCGTTCAAACGTTTGTGTATCGTATAATTACTGAACGGGTCTGGTCGTTGCCGATAACCTTTCTAGCAGCTATGTGCAAAGACGTAAGCGTCGGTCACCGCACCGTCAACGGATAACTTTAGATTGTTTCATACGCCGATGGCCAGATCACGTTCTCGTAAAACCCGTTATCATGGCTGCAGCCTGAACGATATGAGGCAAACACCTCAGGTAACGAACACACGCAGCTATACGTCGTGACCTTTGATGACATCTATGTAAACGACTCGGTTATAATGCGAATACCATGAAAATATAGCAGTTTTAGTAAAAAAAATGTATAACGTATAACGTCTGGAGACGTCAGCTCAAGTATATTATTTATCACAGTCATCAGCTCTTTATTTTGCTAGTATCAGGTACTAGCCTATAGGTGCTGTGCTTTGACATTCCAACAAAAAGCATCAGCTGCGTTGGTCAAAATATTGTGCACAGATTGTGCGATTTGTCTTTGATCTGAGGCCTGTTTCACTAACGAATAAAACTTGTATTTACAAAGAAAAAGCTTGAGTTTACAAGAAATAATTACGAACATTTGAGATTTGGATTTCACGAAACCTTTGAACATAAATTTTGAGTTTAAAATTTGCAAACTTTTTTACAAGAAAAAGTTTGCTAGAAAACATGGGAATCGCAAACCTTCTGTTTCACGAAGATCAGAAACTTGAAAGAAAACATCGTAATTACAAACCTGAAATTCCAGTGGTCCTGACGCTCGGAATTTTGATACTTTTTGTGCAATAATGCAAAACAGTCATATATTTAGAACAACTATTTTGTTGAGTCGTTTCTTGCCCAATTTTTACTTAGCACACACCCTAAGAAGCATAATAATCGGTATTAAAATATCGTCATGTTTTGTCATTCGCGCGCCATAATTGCATTCTACATTCTTCTGCTGTCAAATGTTTTGCGTGCTATTTTCTTTCAATAATAGGACAATGTGAACTATCATTTAAATCTTTTTCCAACAGCATCATTATTTATAATTTAATTAGGCAGCTTTTGACATGAATACTAGACTATACAGGGTGATTTTTTTTTAACTGTTAAAAAGTAAATGTCAATAGTGGTCCCTAAATCGAAAAATCGCGTGCAAAAAAGCAATGCACGTGATAGATAAATCTGGGACATTTTGTATGGTGTCATGATTTGTCCCTTTTAACCGAAGGCCTCGGCCCCAATGGAGCCTGAAAATGTCCCACCAATCGGGCACGCATGGTCCACCGCCGTTCAGTAAGGAACGGCACAAAACGATGATTTTGAAGCATTGAGGCAGTTCGAAGCATACGATCATCGAGGAGACACCCCAGAAAGACGTTAAATAATGCACGAACAAGCTTGTAGTCATAAATAACCTTCAAACGGTTCATTTGGCGTATATGCAGCCTCTGAAGAATCAGTCTTCAGGGAGAAAGAAAAACAACAAATCAGACACCACCAGGGCCGCCAGTATCGAAATCCTCGACCTGCCCTTAACCCTATTCCTGGCGGGCTCCGCCGGGACAAGAAACTGGCGGGGGGGGGGCCGATTCGGCCCCCCCCCCTGAGATCTCGAGAACGAAGCAAGATAGCGACAAGCGGTAAACGGCATCTGATACGCACGGCCAAGATCTACAATTTTTACTAAGGTCATTTTCAGGTCAGGTCAAAGATGACGTCACAGGGGTCGAAAAAGTCAAAATGGCGGCACTAGATATGGAGAGAGTTTTTCTCGAATAACTTTCGAATTAGTCAAGATAGGAACAAACTAAGGGCATCATCGTGATCCTCTCGTCAATCCGCATCGAATGATATATATGTTGACCTCGAAAGGTCAAGGTCAAAGGTTGACCTCAGGTCACGTGACCTCGAGGTCATCATGTATATCATTCGATGCGTCTTGACGAGCTGAACACAATGAGACCATCCACGCGTCTGTATCTTGTTCCTGTACGGAGTTATTGGCCAAAAACCTTTGGTGACCTTTGATGACGTCACATGACCTCACAGCTGCCCAACAGCAAAACAGACCTCAAGGTAGTGAAGGTTGATCGTATATGAAGTCATGTATGGTATATGGGGCCATTCCGACCCGTTTTAGTGGTAAAAACAGGGAGTTGATTTTTCCCCCATTGACTTATAATGGGGAGGTCGCGAAATTGACCTGACCTTAGGTCACCGATATTAAAATTCCGAGATATACAAATTGCACATACTGGTACCCTAACTAAACCCTGAAGAGAAGAAATTGATCGGTCAAAAACTCTAGCTCTGGCGTGATTGCAAACTTTTCTGAGGTAGCGTCACCAAACCGCCTCTGGTGACCTGACCTGAGGTCAGATCAACTCAAAATTTTCAGACATGTTGCGTAGAAGCCTTTTAGGAAAAGTCAGAAAATTTCAGCTTCCTAGCTCAACGCGTTTGGGAGATATAACCAAAAAACCTCAGGGGGGGCTCCTGAGGCCCCCCCCCGCCAGGAATAGGGTTAATAGACTTCTAGTTTTTGGACCCAGCTATGGCAGATATAACAAGAAAACATTGGAAATATCTGGCGGAGCTGAAAATGGGTGATAGGAGCCCTTTCAGTCCGCCTAATGAGTATGTGAGTCCATGGTGCTGTCCAACACGTGCTCAGGTGGGCTGATTCGTGTTGGTGAGAGAGGGGGCAACTTCAACCACAAGTAAAATACACGATGGACGTTCCTTCACATCGTGTCTGCATGAAATCAAAATGTCCCAGCATGCTTGTCATCCTGGTATATAATTTTGCAATATATATTTGTATTTTAATGCCACTAGACCTCATTACTTTTTAACAAGTAAAAAAAATCACCCTGTATGTGATACAAAGAAGCAATATCTTTAACATGCTATAGTTCTTGATTAAAAACAATTTTACTGTTTACAAGTTTATTTGCAAACATTTTCTTATCGGAGGTGCCACTGGCGATGAAGCTTAGTGAAATCTGTTTTTACGTAGTTGGTAAAAATACTTATAGGGGAAGGTGGGGTAAGACGGCCCAGCGGGGCAAGACGGACCACCAGCCCTCCCGGCTGAACCGCTGCTGGTATCTACTGCTTTATGCACTCACTATGTTTGTTTTCCTTCGTAACAATGGCCACCTTGAGCTCATGCTGCTAGGACGCATAGCTTTTGAGTTATTGAGAAAAATGTTGTTTTTCGTCAAACCGATCTAATATAAGAGGTCTACGGGTGATTCAATTACGGCGCCTTTCTTGCATGATTAGTTTCTATTTTGCACTTTACTGTGAAGAACAAAGTTATAAACATAGTTATAATCACACTTTAGGAAAGGCAAGGTTTTGCAATGCTGGGCTATTTGACATATACGTCATGATAATGACAGAATTTAGATTTGGGGCAAGACGGACCACTGTGATCCATCTTACCCTGTGGTGGTCCATTGTACCCTGCATATGGAAAGTTTTTTTTTCCAAAACATTGACACAAGTTTAAGTAAGCTAATTTTTCAGGAAGGAGTCTTTGTTGCATGTGAGCCATGCATGAAAGTGCTCAGTTAGCATGCATTCATGCCAAACGACAATCAACACACATGTTCCCAGCTTTTAGCTGCACTTCCATCATGAGTAAAGAATAAAGGCTCATTTTGTTATTTTATACCATTCTGGTTACTTTTTCTTACAAGAGTACAGAGCAGAAGTGTAACACACATGAACGGATAGCAGGCACTGCTGGGTGGTCCGTCTTACCCCACGTTTTTTCGTGTCTGAGTTTTTGACATGTCCCTCTTTAAGAGCATCCACCACCTAGATGTCTTTAATTTGAAATTTAGTCTTTACACATATCAACAGAGGAAGGATTGAGCATTCCGAAGACTATAAATAATATGAATTACGAGAGCAGTGTAGCAAGATATGCGGCCTCAAACCTTAGCTGGTCCGTCTTACCCCACCTTCCCCTAAATACAAGTTTTTAGTGAAACAGGCCTCTGTACGTCTCCTTGGATGACACTGCCAAGGGTCTATTCGATTCGGAGCACGCTTTATAAGTCAGCACCTCTGTTGTCTTTAGAGCTTTTTGTCAACTTTTCTGACAAAATCAAGTCAGCGCAGGTTAGGATTTGCACATAAAGACCTGTCACCGAGCTTTTCGCGAAGTTCGCGACTACCCGACTAAGACACTCCTTTACAAGTTTACGAGCGAAGTTTGCCAATTTTGCGGTCCCGTTGCTAGGTTCCTGCTGCTATTCTGACTAAGACAGCGCGCTAAGCTAAGCTTGTTCAATAAGAGGAGCAACGTCTGCGTGATGTGCATCCAGTTATAATTATTTAAAAACAAGGAAGAGAGATAGAGTGAGAGAGGGATAGAAAGAAAGAGAGAGAGAGAGAGAGAGAGAGAGAGAGAGAGAGCCTATGGGAGCGGGGAGCTGGGTACCGTAATGGCTGGCATTTTTAATGCGTTTTTGCATATGTTTAATCAGAGTAATCAGACTTCATTGAAGCTAATTTACCAGTAAAACGCCTTTTGGGCGAAGAACGAGCGAGCGAGATAGTGAGCCCTGCACGTGCGGAAGGGCGAGAGGGTACTTCCAATGGGCTTGCGCAAAGCACCGTTCTAACCGGTCGCTAGCGGTGTACCAAATTTGAACGCAATCGGCACAGCCGTTCCTGAGATCTGGAAGCGGCATTCTGCACGTGCGCACGTGCAAACGGGGTCCAAAATGACTTTTGCAAGGCACCCTACTAACCGGTCCCCAACCGTGTACCAAATTTGAACGCAATCGGCCCAGCCGTTCTCGAGATCTGGAAACGCCCCCTGCACGTGCGCACGTGCAGTAGCACCCTAACCGCAACACATGGGAATGCATTGCCTGGTGGGTGCCTACCTGTATGCCAAGTTTCAGCGAAATCGCCCCAGTAATTACCGAGTTACTGAAATGGGAACAAATTTGACACCTCTTATTGTTGTATTTTGCACGTGCACTGGGGGTGACCCACATGCATCGAGAGTATCCTATTTTTGGTAGAAGGGATGCTGCTACCCTATACAAAAATTGCCGCAAGCCAATCGCCCAAGCGGCTGCTGAGATATGAGCCTCTAAAAATCACTACATTTGCAAAACAGCTTGAACACCCTTGACTTTTCACGTGGCACGTGCCACGACGGTCACTGAGATGTATCAAAAGTAGTCAATTACGGGGTAGAAGTGATGGGGCTACCCAACAAAAAAGACCGCAGGCCAATCGGTCCAGCGGTTGCTGAGATATAAGCCTCTCAATAGCGTTACAGGCCGGGCCGGGCCGGGCCCGGCCGGGCCGCTCATACTGAGATTTTTCTGTTATATTGAAAAGACTCACTTCGCTCGCTGCGCTCGCTCGCTCGTAATCAGTCACAGTCCACAACCTACCCAGCATCATCCCTTCTCTGCGCCGGTGGCAATGACCTGCTGACCTCTGTGTGCCTCGCAGTGACCTTTTGACCCCCCCTCCCTCTCAGGTGGAAATGGTCGGTCTCCTGACATCCGGCCATCGATGGAACCCGCAGCTATGTAACGACCTTCGAGCGGAGATAGAGGACTGTCACAGCGTCAGCCAGGCCGTCTTCGCCCTGGTGAGTAAAGTAGAGATGGGTGTTATGTGACATTAAATTCAGCGGTGGATAACTGACATGGATATATGTAAAACGACATGTATCGGTACTAATGCTGTTCAGAGTCAACTGATCACACAGTATATCGTGTATATGTTGTACATATCTTGTGTGTATGTATGTGTACAACATATATATGTATTTTGTGAGGCGATGTGTCGTGTGGTGATGCATATGCAGAAAAGATGCAAGAGATGTAAGAGTGTTTGTAAGAGTTATGTACTAATGGAATGGCTCCAATGCTTATCATTTAGTGATCACGTTTCACCTAATCCCATAAGCAAAATTTTCCTGGAACTCAGGTTGATTTTTCAAAAGACCCCCCAGTTTTCCAAACGAATAGTGTTTAACTATTGAGCACAAAACTTCAGTTACTCCTTGCCATATGATCTCAGATCTCTTTCTTAATTATGGACTTGATTAGAGATCCAATTAGGGAACCGTGTGCGAAATGGGAAACATAATCCGCTTAACCCGCGCCCAGATGGGGTCTGCCGAGCAACGCGGTCTGATGGGGGGGGGGGCCATTTTGGCCCCCCCCCTCAGATCTCGAGAACCACGCAACATAGCGACAAGCGGTAAACGGTGTTGGATAGCCCCAGCGGGGAACTACCTTGTGACCCAATTTCATTGACCTCGGTCAAACCGATGACGTCACAGGTCAGGTCAAAGGTCGAATTTTCACCGTTTATAGGCATTTCAAGAAATGCGTTGTAAAATCGAGTAAAATGCATTTCATTGAAAATCATCGATGGAGAAATGTTCTTCAAACACATATTTTGCTATTTGAGGTCACGATACCAGGTCAGGTCACAGAGGTCAGGTCACTGGGGGGGTCATAATATGAAAGTGTCGTGTGATACATGTTTTATGGTCCATTTTACATGACAAATGCGATTATGTGGGTCAGACAGACTTTAGGGCCAGCTTAGGTCACGTTTTGGTCAAGGTCAGGTCAAGGTCAGGTCAAGGTCAGGTCAAATTAGGTCAAATTTCAAAGTTGATATTTTTGCATAAAATGGGTATTGATTCGATGCAGCTCGTCACGGGGAGTTCAATGGTGGTCTCCGTTTTGCGCTACGAGGTCTAGAATTGCTAAAAATTGAGTTCAAAAATTTGACGTCATCAATTTTTAACAGTTTTTTCGCTATAACTTGGCCAAAAAAAGAGGTATCGATCTAAAATTTGGTATGTATATCGAAGAGCGCAGGGACTATCACATATATTCCGGTTTTTTCGAAATTCGAAAAATTTTTGGAATTTTTTTGAGTTTTTCTAAAAAAATCAAATTTTTTGATTTTTGGGGGTCAAGATCCCAAAATTTCGAAAATCCGAGATAGCAGTTTTGTAGCGCCGTCTTTTCTCTACACAACCACATAAAGAACTTTAAAATTGCTTGTTAACTGTAGAATTGGTGAGCGTTTCAAGATGTCATGTTTTTTGCTCATTTTTGCTCGAACATGACCTCAGTTTGACCTCAATAACTCCTGACCTGAGGTGACCTGTGACTTGAAATTTTGTGTGAAGGTGTCAAATTGATGCCCGGTAAGGTACCCAAAATTTGGCGGCGCTGCGCGCCGCCGTTTTCTCGCTATTTAAGAAAAACCACAGGGGGGGGCCAAAATGGCCCCCCCCCATCAGGGCGCGGGTTAACCCGCGCCCTGCTGGGGGGGGGTGTTTGAACACCCCCCCTTGTGGTTTTTCGCGAATATCTCAAAAACGGCGGCGCGGAGCGCCGCCGTTTTTGGTACACCTTATCATACATCAATTCTACACATGTTGTTAAAATTTCAGACCAAGGTCATTCAAGGTCAGGTCACCAGGTCACTTGAAGTGACCTCACCTCATAAAAAGTTTCAATGTCTGTCATAGCTACACCGAGTGACCGATCGCTTTGAAACTTTCAGCGATTGCTAAGAGCAATAGCATGTACAAAATGTATATCTCAGAATTTTGATGTCGGTGACCTAAGGTCAGGTCAATTTTGCGACCTCCCCATTATAAGTCAATGGGAGAAAATTGAAATGCGCCTCTTTTGGACGGAAGACATTATAAACACTCCCAAACACCGAATTACAACTGGTTTAGACACACAGAACATGAAAATGGTGTCCGTGACCCTTGCTTATGCACTGAGGTCATCTTAGGTCACGAATGGTATCTAACAGTTTTTCGCAAATAACTTTTGATAGAGGCAAGCTAGAGCGATGAAAACGCCTTAGATGTGTTCAGCTCGACGATACGGATCGACTGATATGCAACACGACCCTTTCCGGTCAGGTCATGACCTTGACCTGAGGTCAAATTTTCAAGTTGACCTTTCAAGGTCAAGTTATAGTTCATTCGATGCGTCTTGACGAGAGGAACACGATGCCGGTTAAAGTAAGCTCGTACAAGGCTTGGGTCAAAAGTTATTGCAGAAAAACTGTTTCCGAAAAAATCGGCTATTTTTGCAGTTTTTGCCCCCTGCAGGCAAAACCGTTGACGTTAGGTCAAATCTGAGAAAATTACTCAGAAAGGGCGTTAATAGGGCTATCGAATGCGCTTTTCCGCGGCGCTGTAGCTCTATTGGTTCCCGAGTTATGCGTTGGCTTCTTGGAAATTTTCGAAATTCGACCTGGAAATCGGCGAAATTTTGCCTTCAATGACCTCTGGTGACCTGACCTTTGACCTGACCAAAAAATTGACCAAAGTGATTTCGTCATTATTTTTGACGCTCTTTCGAATGCCGCCTTCCGCGTATCGCTACGTGGCCCAGGAGCCGAGTTACAAGGGGGGGTGTTCAAACACCCCCCCCCCCCCCAGCAGGGCGTGGAAATCCAGGACCCCCAGCCGGGCGCGGGTTAAGTTAATTTATTGATACCTGTGGCTGAGTAGCATCATCCATATTTCAATCATCTTCAATTAGTGTGGTTTATCTCAGGGCACAATTTAAAGGCAGAATTGCTTAGGTGATTGTGTGTTATGCAAGTTGTATTTTCAATTGCAATTCGGATGTAAATTTTCAAATACAGTTTGGATCCTCGGCTCAAAAACAAAGTTTTTTTTTTCTTCAAAATATTACCTATTTACCCTTGAAATTATAGATAACCTCCTCTACCGAATCTGCTGTTGCCTTTTATTTACTCGTCAAGCTTCCATGACATGACCTCACCCTGGATATGACATCACCTCGGCATCAGGTGTACCGATACCTTCCCGCCTGTAGTCATTTCGTGGAGCCACCGGTGGCCGACCCGCCGTCGGAGTGTAATATTACCTCCGACAGGGGGTCGCTCCGCCGCGGGGTAATTGTACTCCCATCGACCGGACCGGCGTGGTGGGGTGGCGTCTCCCCTCAGGTGGAGTTCGTCTTCCGGGGATTGTGGGATTGCGGCTGGGCTTGTCTAGGGCGCTGGGGCTGGCGTGTGGTGGGGTGAGGTGGGAGAATGGGGGAGAGGAAATGCAGGCTTTGTGTCCGTGTTAGATATTTGGTATAGACTGGTGTCAGAGGTGTGTCAGGAATGTGTCAGAGAGGTGTGTCGTAAATGATGAATAGAATGGTGTCAGAGGTGTGTCAGGGAAGTGTCAGAAACCGGTGTCAGGACTGGTGAAGCCAATATATGTGAAATGTGTCAGGCGGACCAGTCAACTGTTTGCAAAATACATTGAAAAAATATCGCAATGAAAGATAGGAAGAGGTCAATTTGTGGTTGCCACTTTTGTGAGGATAATTTCAAAATGCTGAAAGCTCAAATAGACTTTCCAGTGTATGAGATGATCGTGAGATTTTGCTAAAAAATGATTGTTCAACCTCTGCATTGCTTGTGAAGTTGTGTTTGATGTGCTCTGAGCTTGAGTATGAGACCCATGCGTGTGAGCATTGAGTCAGGGCCTTTGACATTCATTGCACTTTGAGCGTATTGTAAAGTTGTCCGCAGCTTGTGATACGAGGTTGTTAAGGTAACTTATTGATTACAGCGTTTGACATCGCCTTAACCCGCGCACCGACGGGGGTCTGCGCCAACTTAGTACCGACGGGGGGGGGGGCGGATGACCGCCCCCCCCCCTGAGATCTCGAGAACGAAGCAAGATAGCGACAAGCGGTAAACGGCATCGGATACGCACGGACAAGGTCTACAATTTTTACTAAGGTCATTTTCAGGTCAGGTCAAAGATGACGTCACAGGGGTCGAAAAAGTCAAAATGGCGGCGCTAGATATGGAGAGGGTTTTTCTCGAATAACTTTCGAAGTAGTCAAGAAAGGAACAAACTAAGGGCATCATCGTGATCCTCTCGTCAATCCGCATCGAATGATATATATGTTGACCTCGAAAGGTCAAGGTCAAAGGTTGACCTCAGGTCACGTGACCTCGAGGTCATCATGTATATCATTCGATGCGTCTTGACGAGCTGAACACAATGAGACCATCCGCGCGGCTGTATCTTGTTCCTGTAAGGAGTTATTGGCAAAAAACCTTTGGTGACCTTTGATGACGTCACATGACCTTACAGCTGCCCAACAGCAAAACAGACCTCAAGGTAGTGAAGGTTGATCGTATGTGAAGTCATGTATGGTATATGGGGCCATTCCGACCCGTTTTAGTGGTAAAAACAGGGAGTTGATTTTTCCCCCATTGACTTATAATGGGGAGGTCGCGAAATTGACCTGACCTTAGGTCACCGACATCAAAATTCCGAGATATACAAATTGTAGCTACTAATGACCTAATAACATACTGCGACTTTCAAAGGCCTCCGACATCTACTGTAGCTCTGGCACGGTGACAAAGTTGCAAAAAAGTGACTTGAGGTTGGGTCATTCAAAGTGACCTGGTGACCTGACCTTGAAAGTTAGGAGGTTCAAACTTGCACACCATGTGTAAAATTGATGAGAGAATAATCATACCAAATTTCGCGGCGCTACGCGCCGCGGTTTTCCCGCTATTCGCGAAAAACCTCAGGGGGGCGGATATCCGCCC